TTCAGTTATTGCTAGCAATTATCAATCCAATGTGTACTGGTACCTTGTTGGTTATTATTTCGAAATAGGAATGCTGGATATGGATCTGTTAGAGGAATTTTTCACATTCTATCTCACGATCCGGAGAAGTCCGTTTAACAGATGACTGCTTATTCGAGTCATTAATCAGTGTGACATATGAATGGCCGATACGCTAGGCCTTCAATAACAACGTTAGCTCACCCGAGAACCAAGAGTACAAGTCCCAAATAGTTAAGCAAACCGCTCTTAGGTGGTGCTGCATTTATGCCAAATAGACCGAATCGTGATATGGCCCAGCCTGTGATGCATGATACGGTCTTCCAAATGAGCATCGCCAGTGCTAGTCCCAACGTATCCGTCAACATTATGGCTGTACTGTTCGCTGAAGTAGCGAATGGTTTTCCATTTTATATGATGTAAATTAGACTACCAATCACAGCACTTCGAAAAACAGTTACCATTATACTTGAGAGGTATGATCGATTACTGTTCAAAACAGATGATAATCGGAAATATGACGAAGTATACTATTGGAGCCAAATAAAACTCTTAAGCGACCTTCGAATCGAAAATAATACCAATCTTATATCGTTGTTAAGATAACTTCTTAAAACTGCAAACTCAGTAGTGCTCAGCCAGGCTGTGAGAGTTATTAAAGAAACTATCTGGTGATCACTAGTGACGAAAACAAACCAAGTCCCCATAGCAGTCCGCCAAGCATTGGAAGCGGATAGAACGGTGGAAAATGAGTCAGTACGAAAACAATAAATCCAACGATGATTATTCCAATACCCATCATAAACTGTACAAAAACGCCTGGAAATGCGATCTGAATGGGGATCCAAAAGGTATGAATGGTGGTATAATTTGGCCTACATCTAGAATACTTTTTGAATTTTTTAGCGTGATGTACGAATAATGGGAAGTGGAAGGGCTCAGCTGCGATACAGTGTGCACTAAACATCAGCGACACATTCAACGCAAAAACAAAAGTGCTTTATTCTATAATATATTCAACGACTCATTCAATGATTTTATGAATAAATCTAGAACGATGTGCTGACCGAAGAATTGAAGGGAG